ATGGATGTCCTGTATTTTTTCCGTTCTCTACTGTGTACCGCTACTAAGGAGACGCCTCATGAAACATTCCCAGCCCCTTGGCCAAGGGTTTTTCTAAGTGATTCCAACCCTTGGTCTAACCACCCCTGGCTCTATTGTAATTACTAGGTGTTTCGGCAAACATCGCACGAAGACGAAGCATAACATGACACACAGGTTTTTGCAATCCACGGAGGTCAAGTATTGTAAACGTGAGTATTTCTTGTTCGTACAAATTCGGCACTGCTTTATCTGCTATTCCCCCAGATTCGTACAATGCGGTACAGAAAGAAGTTTCCGTGCAAGTTCTTCCCTTGACGATCAAATCTGTGCACATAAAGTAAAACCCACCGAGCTGTTGCAAGATATACGTGATCCTTCACAAACACTGGCATACCTCGACATAAAAGATGCCTCAAACTGGCAAACAACGACCAATGTGAATATTCAAGACAAACAAAGATCTCACCATTAAATCGTCGAATCAGCAACGGAGCAATGGACTCATAGAAATCGGAAGTCATTTCTGGATACGTGAGTACAATTGCTTCAAGAGCCCGGGCTGCTGAACGACGAACTTTCCATGATGAGTCCTCATCATCCGAATAGTCATCGTCATCCTCCTCATCCCCATCATCATCATAATCCGCATCTCCGTTATCCACAGCCATACTGAACGTGTGCACAGGAAACAATGGGGCAGAAAACCAAGGAGTGAGAAAAGTGAAACGAAAACAGTTTTCCATGTTATATGGGTTAACAGTCCACAGTAAACATTTTTCTGTTTGCAACATTGTGAGTCACGCACCTTCTCATCTTGTACTTTATTTCGTAGACCGTTTTGAGCGTTCGTTCTACCGTTCGCAGCGAAACGTTCAATTCAAACTGCTTCTATCTATAATGTATGATTCATGGAGTTGTTTGGAGCCATACTAACTTGAATTTATCTGTCCCTGAGTTTTTTCTCAATCTTGACAGTTTTTCATTTGCTCGTAGTTGTTGCACTGTACATATTGCGCCAAAGTGCATCTTGATCTGCTGTACCGTCTGGTTATCTCATTAAAAGCGGCCAATGTGGATTTCTCGATATCAGTAAGTCTATTCCAATGTGCTTGTACTGATCCACATGGACGTTTCCTTCTTAAATACGATTGCGAGTGATATGGGCACACGGTCAAAGTCATTACAGCATTACATGCCATTATCTACATTTGTCTGTGAATTACTAACTCACTACATATAGATGCCAGTTATCATGCCAAAGTAGAAAAAAGGCGAGACGACCGGCCAACGCTGATGGTTAAACTGATTTAGGCATTAGAAGATCGAGAGATATAATGCTTAGTCCTGGTAAAATTTTAAATTTCCGATGAGTTTTCGTTAAAACAAAGATAATTTGATGAAATTTCTTATCAATGCTTTACATTCGGTTGCTGTCTCGAATCTAAATGATGATGATGATCGCATACACGAGAGCGGAAGCGACCCGAAAAAAGAGAGCAATATTTTGTCACTGGGTTTGTTCTTAACGAGTTCGGCTGATGTATTTTGGCATTTCTCTCCCTATTGTTATGATCATGTTTCAGCACTTGAGAGAGCACGTTTACATATGAAATGGTAGTGAATCAAATGGATAACAGGTGTACAGAGTGGAAGGGGATAGGATAAAATGGGAAAGGCAGGATACGGTAGAGATAGACATACTTACCTATCCGTTTCCGCTTCGGCTACAGTATAGTCGTAGTTCGGGTCATATTGCAATCTTTCGCAGAGTAACTGGGACAGCTAAGAAGGTAGAGATCACGAGATATGCTAAGTATTCGTGGTTTGTTTCTCAATGAAAACAATAGTCCGTTCAATTAAATAGTGCTATAAAACGATGAACTTAGGGATAATTCCTGGGAAATCTCTGAAGCACGTTCTATTATTCGAAGCCTATGCAAGCTGACTATCTCATTGTGTGCTCAAACTCAGCTGAGTACAGTACTGTTTGCGTCTTTTTCAGAAACGTTCAACTAGTGAGTACCATCGCAATACTGCAGTGAACCAAATCCATATGTATGCCACAATAATTGATGAAGTTCAGGAACTGAAAATAGTAAAGTTCAGTTCAGTTCAGTAGCCAAACGGTGCAAATTCCGCTCTTGTTGCAGCTGAAAATTCGCCGAACATGCACCTTTGCAGGTCCGCAAAAGTAGCACACATGAAATGAGACAACAAAAAAATGGGATAAAATAGCATAGTAAATGTAGACAGTATAAATTAAAAGAAAAAGTGATACCTCTGGTAATGTGGGCAGAATGGTACGAGGACAATGTCGAACCAGGGTTTCCAACGTCTGAATAACAAGCTCATGAATGTCGTCCATCTGGGAATCACCTGGAACAGAATGACGTAGGACTGAAGCGAGTAACTGTAAAGCCGGACGAAGATAGTGAGGTGCTCGCAGCATTTGTCGTCTGGTAAAAGGAAAATGTGGAGAGGTGTTAAGTGACAGGATATCCGGTCAGGTCAAGTAAAATCAATAATAATGAATATGATGACGAATAAAAGTAAACAAAAGAGAGTTAACTGTTGTTAGAAAAGCGCTAAGGTTGATTCCATCTGACATACGACAGGGTTGGACAGCAAGCTTTCAGGATCCGTAGTTAGCTCGGTTCAGTTTATATAACCATTAATCTTGCACTCTTGCAACGCTTTTGGTTGCTGACTTCCTACTGCCCGTTCGGTCGAACCGCGAAGGAGTAGAAAGAACAAGTAGAAGGTCAAGAGCAGTACAAAGGTTAAGGTGGGGAATTCAGGTAGAAAAAAACTGCGAAGAAATGGAATAAATACACGAGTGTCACTGTTTGTGACAAAATGTCTTTATTCATTGATAAGATTTGGTGCCGGACCAACTCTGTCTCGTAGTAATATTTTACACTTTGAAGGTGCAAAACACATACCGAACATGGCTACGCTGGTACTCAAGCTATCCACAAAAGCTTGCAACTTACCTGGATCTTCACTTAGTAGCACAATATCATCTGCATACTCCCTAAGTCCCCAACCGGGAAGTCTAATGTGACCTTTACATCCAAGCTCCTTACTGACGGCTCTCATATCATCACGCCAGGTCTTAGTTGGACCGTTCTTGGCTTTGTTCCACCCACTAGCTGCCTCTGCAAACATCGTATTACGAGGCACCTTTATCTAGTGATATTTGTAAGAAACACATGCCACTGTAACTACTAGAGGTGGCGCACCTGTTCCAGTGGAATACCACGGTTACCTAAAATGGTATCCAATCTCGGTATTAATTGCCCGGTGTCCCAACTAAACTCAGGCAATATGACATAGGCAGTAGTGTTTGCACACCGATAGTTCGTATTTATCCTTGTCCTGCAGCAACCAAAGTCTCTGAACCATATGGTGGCATACAATAAACATTTAAAGACCACTGACTATCGCAACGGCGACAGAGTTGTATCACCTTGGAAACGCTAACCGAGTTCTACGTATGCGTATGGGCATTTCGCTCCGGATCTACCAGGAAAGTAACTTACCGGAGTATCAAAATTTCTCTACTTCCTCCATTACCTATCCACTTAAAATGAAAATGCGAGCTGTTCCAACGCAACCCTGCAGTAACACTTTACGCTTTGAATGCGTAAAACTCATGCCAAACATAGCTTGAACAATGTAGAAAAGCTTGCACCTCATTTGAATCTTCACTCAGTAGTACAATGTCGTATGTGTATTCTGAATTGGATAGTTTGTCACATAAGAGAACATCGAAGTAACTGCATTAGCACGAGGACAGAATCTTATCCACTACAATGTTGAAGAGACAATAATTGAAAGGAACCCTAACGAACACCACTTTCTGAACTGAACTCGGGTACAAAGGCCGTGGAATCGCACTAGGTTTTGACTATATAAAAGGATCGTAATAGTGTGAATATGGTTGATGAAAATTCGATCAGGCCTCAAACCAGCCTGACTGTCACGCGTGCATCGTTCACGGGTGACAGACAATGAACGGACAATAATGCCGGTGAGGGGCTTTGAAGTGACGGTATTTAAATTAAATACTAATGGTTAGACGAAAAACTTGGGTGATTTGATTGAAAACTGTCAACAGTGACGTTTATGTAATCAATTTCCGTATACTCTACATCTCTATTGTTGCTATTTTCTATTCACTCTTTGTAATTAATTTATTTTTCTCCGGTCAACATAATAGGCCACGAGAAAAAGGGAACTAAGATGTCGTTTATGAATGCTAACAGTTATCCGCATCGGTAACCAGTGAGTGTACTACTGTCAAATACAAAATTCCACTTTTCTTAACTACGTAGCAGGGCCTTGTGTGGTTCGATACTCCGGGGCTCAAGTTACCGGTTTCCATCAATGAAAAGCAGCTACTCGCGACTTTGGGGTTCACCCCAACTGCTGTTCATCACATAAATGTTTAATAAAAGATGGGGCCTGATATGGTTCGTCACTTTAGGTCCTGGTGCGGGTTTCTGTGACTGATGATGATTATAGAATTTAACCCGTTTTGCTGTTTATCATATGTAGTCAAAAAAGAGACTCACGCGACTACGTTCAGACACTGAAGCAATGTTTTGTACAAATCCATGCTAGCGGGTTGTTTCAGCTGAGCGGCAAGATGCGGACGTTGCAGTAGCGGATGATCTGCAATCAGGGCTGCGAGTTGTTCCTCTGTTTCTGGCCCAGGACCCGTACCAAATTTGGTACTACGTAATCGGGTCAACAAGTAGGTCAACAAGGAAGCCAGATTTTTTTGAGACACAGACCAAGCCAAACAACCAAGAGCCTGTGTGGCACGTTTCCGTAAGGTGTTTTGTGGACAGCTGAGGCCAATGAGCATGCAATCTAATAGATCCATGTGAAAGTTAGACAGATGACTCCCAAACCTGAAAAACCGGTTGGTAAGATGAGGTAGTAATTCAGTGGCACCACGATTACTTCATGATCAATAACATGAGAAACATCTTAGTTCGATCATTCACATGCAGATCAGTGACGGTTCATAAAACAAATGGATTGTCTTAGGATTAATTACTTATGATCATATATGTGGAATGCATGAGGATGGAGTAATACAAATTAAATGGGGTGAAAGAACTCTCAACGTAATTTCTGGCAAAAAGTCGCAGTTTCAGTTTAGCTTTAACAACAATTACCCACACATTTTCGTGAGCCGGTTTGGGTTGTTGTCTTCTGACTATCCATTAAGACAAAGGAGCAGAATGGGGATTAGAATGCTGAGAGCAGTCAATATGAAGATAGAGAATTAATATAGAATGGAGCCTCAAGAATAATGATTAGATGCAGCAGCGTCATTGTTTGCGACACTCAATCGCATCACTCAGCGACACGGTTATAGAAATCAGTGAGCCATTATCTCAGGGGTCTCCGTCCAGGAAGCCTAAAGCGAGCTATATGACTCAGTCTCCTGGTTAGGGTTTTCATGCCCTCATGCCACATCTTAGTTTCACCGCCCTTGAACTGTCTCCAACCGGTTCCCGCCTCAGCAAATATCGCGCGCCAGGGCAACCTATTTGGTGACATGCACAACACATGTTCCAACCACCGTAGGCTAGTCCCGTGGGCGACCGCGATTACTTTCCGTCCAACCTCAGCATTGTTCGTCCGGGATCCCCACCAGGTTTGTGCAGTGCAGTGCAGACAGCGGTGTTCCAACACCGACAATCCGTTTTTATCCTCTTACCGTGAGGGCTAAGTCTCTGCGCAGTATAGCAGAACTGGTCAAACTGCCGTGTCATATACTCGATCCTTCACAGACAGCCGGATGTTGCGACGGCGTCACAGATGTCTCACGTTGGCAAATGCCAACCAAGCCTTCTGTTTGCGTACCGACACTTCAACCGTGATGGGTTCACCGGGTGAGATACAGCTGCCCAAATAGCAGTTTTTCTACTGCCTCTATTACTTCCGCAGTCAGAGTGAGGTTGGGGGCAGGAACAACCCAAGCTTGTAGCAACATTTTACACTTTGAAGGTGAGAAATGCATTCCGAACACGACTACACTAGCACCCAAACTATCCGGAAAATCTTGCGACTCATCTGGATCCCGAATTAGCAGTTCAACGTAGTCTGGGTATTCCAGGTCAGACAGTCTGTCAGCGGGGAGCGAATCGATGCCACTATTCTTGCACGAGGATAAGGTTGTTTCGATAATTAAATCTACGACGAATTTGAATGGAAACGGAGAGGGCTAATCTGATGAACACCACTTTCCGTAGTGAACTCGGACTAAAAATGCCGTGAGCTGGAACTCCGCTTCGGCTGTTAGTATAAGAACGCAAAATTGAAATAAACTTCTCGGGCACGCCCTTCAGAGCGAAGCAGCGCCAGAGTTTAGTGGTCGACTGAGTCGAAAGCCGGTTTCAGATCGAGGAAGACAGAAACGACGGGTCTACGAAGGCAGTACCTGTGTTCTAAAATTTAGCGAAGAGTGAAACGGTGGTTTATACAACCTCGATGGGGTCTAAAAAAAGCTTGCTTCTCAAACGAGCACCGTTCACCTGCGGCAGACAATCGTCGGGGTATAATACCTGATGCCTACTTTCAATAGCCTCATCCTTCTCCATCTCTCCATACTTCCCCATTCATAATTTCTAGCGGGTATTCTCCAGACTCTTGATGAGGTGGTGTTTGACGGATCTGCGCGCTTTTCCGTATTTTTCATCAGAAGAGATGGCTTTGCGAGCGTCAAACAAGGCAGCGGAGGTCGACGAGATCCATCGTTTTTTGTTTTAATCGTGCCCAGATGCAGGAACACTATTGTTTACGACACCCAGCGTCTCTAACCATCGGGTATGATCATCCCGATGTCCCCATCCAGGGAGCCTAACGGGACCTACGTGATCCAGACTCCTGGTTAGGGCTTTCATACTCTCATGCCAGGTCTTAGGCTGACCACCCTTGGCTTTCTTCCACCCACTACCTGCCTCGATGAACATCGCTCGCAACCTACCGATGAAATACGTACCACATACCCCAACTAACGTAATCTATGGAGGTTGACCACTTGCTCCAGTGGGCGACCTCATTTACCTAAAACTCTGCGCCTAACCTCAGTATAGCTCGTCCGACTGTCCCACAAGACTCGCGTGATGCTGCGTAGATAGCGGTGTTCGAACACCGACAATCTATCCTTGATCCTGTTTCCTTAATGGCCAAGTCTCTGCGTCGTAAAGCAGAACTGGCCGAACTGCTGAGGGGTTCTGTGAGCTTCCAGCAGGGCAGCCGAGGTCGACGATATCCATCGTTTGTTTTGAGCTTGCGACAGGGTTCGACGTTGTTTTATCGATATTTGCATAGCTTCCTTGATTTGCTTCCGGTGTCCATCGAGTCCTCCGGCTCGTGACTGGGCTGATAGGCGATCGGAGAGTTCCGCTTTGAAGGCCGATTTGCAATAAACGCTGACGCTGTATCATGGGTATCCGTTGTCGGTGGCTTTCTTGTGGTTGTTTGCCAGGCGTAACGAGAATTTGGCTCGAAGCAAAGCTTGATCCGTATCCACAGGTGTGGACCAGTAAGAACGGCAGTCCTGAATCAATCCACTCCAGCGGTTAGCGACGTGGTCGATCTGGGTCCAGCGCAGTGAAGAGATTGGTGGTTTCCATGTAAGTCGGTGTTGTTTCTTGTGCGAGAAGTTCGTGTTTGACAGGAACAATCCGTCGTCAGCGCAGAGTTAAAGTGGGCGATCTTCGTTATCCGTCTGGTTGGCTGGGACTGGATGCGGTCCGCCAAGAATCCTTTTTGATTCGTCCAGGGATCCCAATTGAGCATCGAAGTCTCTGGCGACCACTACGACGTCTGTTGATCGAACGATTCGGAGTAATCGAGAAAGATCTTTGTAGAATTCATCCTTGATTTCAGGTGTGCTGCAATCGGTTGGTGCATACACCGATATGACAAATAAGCACCGACACTTCGTGCTGTAGCTGTTGACCCGTGCTAAGCCGTTGAGACGTACAGCGCACAGTCGGCTACTGACTGGAATCCAGTCAAGAAGCGAGCGCTCAGCCTTGGCACTTAGCGCAATCCCGACATCAGCAACACCGCGAGCTTCAGATACCGAGTCGCCTGAGAAGCGTGAAGAGTGAGGTTGGGGTTGGATCAGGAGAACGCAGGGAGATAATGGAAGTAGGGTCTTGTATGCGTGTTTCGGAGACAGCATACATCTAAATTGAAAGTTTCAAGGGTTCTAGCTAAGGCAACCTGTTGACCGATCTGATAGACTGTACGGACATTGAACGCGGCGAAGTGAAAAGGAAATTTTGGCCTCAAAAATCCCGTAACTTCGGATTATTCGGCCTTGCTGGTAAAACGCTGAGTGATATTCGATGGGTGGCGAAAACAGGCGTCCGGAGTTATTCGGGATTGAGAGAAAGAACTAGATATATCGGAAAGTGGTTTGTCCAAATGGTTGCCTAAGACTTTAGGGCACCGCATACTTCGCGGTTTATCACACCGACGAAGGGGTTTTAGGGGAACCCTAGCCGGAGCCTTCGACTCAAAAGTCTGACCCACAAGACAGTGGGAGGGGGTACAACCAACGCGGGAGCATAAACGTGTGGGAGCTTCTAGAGACTTGTCATACAAGACCTTCGGGTTTCGGTTCAGTGTTTTGTTCGCTGGTGCGTTGGTTGACAGTCCGCTTTTCGGGATCGGCCCTTAGCCTCATACACCCAATGAGACAAGCGGAACGTGGACGGGACAGCACCTTATTGGCTGGGGGCTGCCCAGCTTGGGCGGGTGGTAGCTGTCCAATCAAGTGCGAAGACGGTGGGAGAACACCGTCGAGAGGAAGCCCCATCTAGCGGGTTTTTTTGACCGGTAAACTGCCCCTCATTGTATTTATGTGCTGGAGTGACCTCCTTGGAGGCGGGTGTGGATAGATAAAAGAAGCCACACCAACGGTAGCTTACTGCAATGCGGTCCATATGATTTAGCGTACCAGTTGAACTGGTGTAACGTTGTCGTTCGTTGAGAGCTGTATCGGAAGCTGGTACTGGATAGGAACAGATGATGGGCTGCGCGGAACAAAAGAAGTCGATCGGCGTTATCTGTTCGTTGGCAGGGCAGAGAACAGCGAGCGCCGAAGCAAGCTTCTAATTAGCTCAGTTTTCTAACCTGCGCGTTAAATTCACCTGCATGTACAACTGTGCCGAAGCTTCGACTCAACCGAAGATCAGTGAGTTCATCGTAGAGTCCTTTTGTGTAGCAGAACTGCAACTGGTCGGTGCATATGCCGATATGGTGAACAAGCACCTTTTGGTGTTGCTTCCCTTCCGGACCGTGATTGAACCCTGGGGACGCGCTGCACATAAACCACTGTTGACAGGGATCCAGTCGACAAGAAAGGACTCGGTCCTGTTACTGTGTACTATACCTACCCCGCGCTGACCAACTGAACTTTTTCTTCTTTCCTTATGGCAGCTGGCTCCTGCGGGGGGGGGGGG